GTATAGGGAAAGGTCATGAAAACTCCCTTAAAATGACCCGATTAATCCAAAAACGCAGTAAAAAATATAGCTTTCCATTTAAAATAAGAAAGTTGAGACCGACTTCCGGTATAACCGGAACTGCCGCCATCTTGAAAATATTTTCATTTATGAGAACTTAATGGATTATGGCCATGCACCAATTTTCAAATAAATACGATTTTTCGAACTCCTAATAGTTGTAATGTGGGTTTAGACGGAACAGCCCTGTATATGAACACTGACAAGAAATAATTGTATGTTTGGTCTACCGGCAGCCAACCAAGTTCTTTTATTTTTTGAGATACATGGTAAAATTTTCTTAATTTGTAAATTAAACGAGAGCACGAATTTTGTATTTTTTGTAATTTATATTTAGATTGATAATCTAAACATGAATAATAAATAATGAGACCATAATTAAGGTTGGAAAGCACCAATGACTCGTATAGTTTTTTTCGAAGTTTAAAATTCAAAATGTGAAAATTGGTATATAACATTTTTATAACATTTTTAATGCAATATAAGACCTCTTTACAATCAAGTTGACATGTTCTCTAAGTCGTAATTCCGAATTCATTATAATTCCAAGATTTTTGACACTGTTTGAGATACCTATTTCCATATTACCAATTTTGAGATTAATTTGCGAGTTGATTTTTTTATTTCTTGTGGAAATGCAAATTGATGAACATTTACTCGAATTTAAATTTAAACCAATGCTTTTAGACAATAAGGATATTTCATTTAGATCTTGATTAATAAAGTTGCAAGCTCGTTCTACATCGTCAGGATCAAAATGATAGTACAATTGTATATCTATCATCTGCAAAGGCATGGATGTTAACATATTTTACCGATTCTAATATTTCTGCGCTGTATATTAAATTCCCAAAATTGAACCTTGCGGAACACCGGATGTAATATTTCCTGCTCTTGATTGTGAGGGACCTATTGTAACAATTTGTTTCCTATTAATAAGGTACGAATTAAAAAAAATGTTGAAATGTTGTCAAAACCATAAAAAGATAATTTTGCACATAAAAGTGATTGATCGAAGGTGTCAAATGCTTTAGAAACATCCAACAATGGTGGCATCACCTTTATCCAAAGCTCTAAAGCAATTATCAAGAATTTTTCCGAGGGCTGTGATGGTACTATAATTTTTACGATATCCTGATTGTTTATTTGTAATAATACCTTCAGAAACAATATAATTGTAAAGCTGTTTATAAATGACTTTTTCTAAAATTTTTGATAAATCTTTACGTTTTTAATAAGGCTCTTTGGGTACAATTGACTGCTTTAATAGCTATTTCATGTTTGAAATAAAATTTCTTCTAGTGATCTCAGTATTAAAAGTCATTTCCATATTACACAGTTTAAGTTTGATTTTAATTGAAGTTCCACTTTATTTATGTTACCAACTCATGTAAAATTCCCTAAATTTTAAAATTTTCTTTAAGAAAAAAAACAAAAAGGGTGCAAATTACTTTCTACAATATACTATTAAGAAACTGAACAAATTAGTTCTTGTTTTAATTAATTTGGTTTAGTAATGTGTTAAAAATGCACTTTTTAGGGAACTTTACTCCCTTTCAAACAAATCGCAACAAAACGCCAACGTGGAGCAAATCACTGTTTGCGAGCGTCTTTCCCTCCTCCTGGATGTTCTAATATCTCATAAAGATTTGTGTGAACGKCTCGAAAAAGGATTAGCACACGACCACCAACAAGCCCTTTCCAAAATGCTCTCTTTGAAAAAACGTAAAATTCAAGGAGTAATAAGAGGAACAGACGTAAGTAATTGAAAAAAATTATTGTGATTTAAATTAATTGGGTAATTTTAGACTGAAAGTGTCGAACAACTTGAAGCAAAAATGTTAACGCAAGAAAATATTATATCTAACATTGAGCTCCGATCTGATTTTAGTCTTTATTGTGTCCATATGGAAACACAATTGGTGTTTGCTTATCTCGAAACTTTGTCTTCCATTCTGAATAGTTTGGTTTCGTTGAGAATTAGATCCCATTCAGAGGTAATAATTGAAATTTATACTAATAATAAAATTATTGTTTTAAAACTTTTTTTATAGTTGGCAGATATTTGGAAGCAGGTTCAACCAACTGTTCAGGAATATTTACCGATTGATTATGGTGTTGTTAATGGTAAAGCATAGCTTTAAAAATTGCCTTATCTTTAGGTTAAGTAGGTTAAAGGGGCCAAATATTCATTTTAACTATTGGTTAAGTTAGCAATAAGTCTTTATGACTCCTAAACAATACATTCCACTTTTACTCAAATTCCACATTGTGATAAATATACTTGTAAATATTTTATATACATACTCTTATTATTATTATATGAAATAAAGTTATTTTTTATCTTTTAACTTCTGTTATCAATTATTTCACATCACATTTTATGTTCTATTATATTTTTCAAAAATGTTTTGTGGTTTGAATACCAGATACACACTTGAATAACTCAT